ATATATATATATATATATATAATTTTAATTGAGTTTAAACTTAATAATCAAAACTAAGTTATAATATTTTTGTAATTTGGTTGAGATGGTAAGAGTCTAGAAAATTGTGTTTAAGAATTGATTTTGTGTTTAAAATAATGAGACTCAATTGTTTTAATACTAAAAATTTAAAATATAAATATAAATTTTATAAACAAGTTTCATTATTTAACATATGCATTCTTTTTAGAATTTTTTTTCTAGAACTCTCCCTCGTTTTTATCTAAGATATCTTATCATTCGTTCATCCTTTTAAAGATTAGAAATCGTAGGATTTCTCTTAGTGGTGAACTCATTAAAATTAATTGACCAGTTTTTTCAAAAGGGTAAGTTAATTTTTTGTCCCCTTCTTGGTCAATTGGTCTTTTTTCTAGATGTGGCTTTTGTTCAACTCATATGTAGTGTTTGTGCCTATTTTGTTAGTCTATGTTGATAAGTGGTCCTAATGGTATGTCCTGATCATGTTTACATTGTTCATAGGGAAAAGTTGAGTTATCTGTACGTGTAGGAGTGTTTTAGTGGTCATCGAGCTGTTTAGTCATCTTTCAAGCAAGAGAAACTAGTTGCTTTAGTGTGCATGAGTTGGATATTTTTGATTGAAATTCGTATGTTGTTGAATCTGATTAATGTTTATACTGATTGACTAGTATGGTTTGTTGATTGAATTGAATTTTGGTTTATGTTTGGACTGTTGTAATTGAGAGAATTGAAGAGTTTAACAATTGTACAAATTGGTATGAGATTGATGTATAAAATTGTGTTGAACCACTTCTATGGAAAATGAATACCAATTTGAGTAATTAATCAAGTCTAATTTCACTTAAATTACAAATCTGAGTGTGTTGAAATCTCGTATGGTGTTGAGTACAAACTTGATTTTGCAAGTCTAGAAGCAATTTTCCTCTAAACCATTGATTGCCACTTTCACCCCTAAGAGACCTTTTTTGTAAATTCTTTGGCGTTGAACGGTGGCAGGGCACTAGTGAGCACCATCTTACACTACACGTTGAGAGCAATTTTAGTTTTAGGACGTTGAGCGAAAGGATGGTGTTGTTGAGGATGACGTTTTGCAAGAAGAATGACACTGAGCACCTGCATCTGAACTCCAGGACTGCCTTTGAGCGTCAGGATTGCCTCTAAGCATTAGAACTGCCATTGAGTGCTACATTTTTTGGAAGGTTTGACCTGGATGTTAGGACAAGACTGTCGCTGAGCGCCACCCTTATACGAGAGGTTTAGCGCGTTGAACGCCACTTGTTAGCATTAGTTTGTATACTTGTTTTGTTTCTTTGTTTTGACTGTTTGGTATTTATTTATGTAATCATTGATTATGCATGTGAGTATGATGGTTGTATGCATGGAAGTGGGTATATTTGTTATGATCATGTGTGGTACTGTTGTTTAGAGAATCTCAGGGAGGCATTTTGTGTGATGGTGTTGCTTAATGTATGCTTCGACATATAGAAGTTTAGAAGGGAGGTATTCTAATAGTCATTTAACTCGTGTTGAGATGAATGAGTGGAAAAATAATGACAAAAGGTCTTAGCCTTAGACTTTTGGTCTTAGACGTGAAAATATTAACCTCATGAGAAGTAGGGTAATAACCCATGTGTTTTTGACTTTACATAGCATAAATATTATTACGAGTGCACACCTATAATGAAGCCTAATGTCAAAGCATGGAGCAGAATAATTGAGTTTAGAGTTAACTCTATGTATGTTTTTGAGTTTTAGTATTTTATGGATATTGAATTGGTGTTTGGTATTTTCTCTTGTACACTAACTTACTTGCTTTTCTTATTTGAGAGTTTCTCCCTACACCACCCCAACTTCTTCCTTCACCACCCCATTCCCCAATTGTCTTTAAGTAAAAATGTATTTATTATGGTTAAAAAATAGTTAAAGATCTTAACGGAAATTTGAGATCCGTTCTGTCTTTAATAGATGTCAATGTCCGTGAAGGTCAAACATATTTTTCATATCCGTTTTGACTTTCTCGTTTCTTTCCATCATTTCATACAACAACATATCATTTCACAGCACATATAACATATCAACAGTAAATAAAATGGAAGGAACGACACAATAAAAGCAACGATGCAATACAATAGAAGCAATGAAATAATGGAGGTAGGAAATAAAAGTGAGAAGAATAAATGAAAAATAAAAGGAAAAGAGAAGAGTAAGAAGAAGAGAGTGAAAAGAGAAGTTTTGTAGGATATGCCAGCGGCCACAATGGAAAAAAGGGAGAAAATAGGATTAGGGTTTTATATTAAATAAGATAAAAGTAAAAAAAATCACTTAAGGTTACTTTTGAAATAAAAAAAAACGTTGGAGAGGTGCAGACTAAAAACCGTGGTGGTGGAGGGAGTAACTCCCACGAAATAAAATCAAGTTGGCTATGCTGGACCAAAACGACCAATAAAAACAAGTAGCTGAAACAAAAAAAAAAAAACAATATCGTTTGTTGTAGATTGGTTCAAGAACATGTGGTCGTGTGGCACCTACGTGCCTTAGCGCCTTATCCAGCAACTGTAGTGTTGACAGTTGTGGTGGTCGTTTAAGAATTTCTAACCCGAAATCTTCACTTTACATCTCTCTATCTCTCAATCTTCATCACCAACAAGTGTTTGAGTAACCATGGCATCCACCACTCTATCTCCTACAACCCCTTCTCAGGTATCAAAAACAACAAAAATGTTCATTTTTAACATATTCTCTATAATGTGCAGCATTATCACGGTGCTTTTGAGTTAACAAGGGACTACATGCGTTGTGATTTCAGCTATGCTCCGGAAAGAGTGGGATTTTCTGTCCCTCACAGGCACTTCTTGTGAAACCAATGAAGAGGCAGATGATGGGGAAGAGCAAGGGAATGAAAATTGCTTGCCAGGCCACCAGCATTCCTGCTGATAGAGTCCCTGACATGGGCAAAAGGCAGCTCCTGAATCTCCTTCTTCTTGGTGCTATTTCACTCCCAAGTGCTGGAATGCTTATTCCCTACACCTATTTCTTCGTTCCTCCAGGGTAGGTTTTCTTTTCATCACCCTCTCCCTTCTTCTTCTTCTTCTTCTTCTTAAACTTGCAACTCAACCCTCTTTCTGTTCTGTAAGTGTTAAATGAATTCACTTTTTATTTTGGGGGAGGTGGCAATTAGCATTATTGATCCTATATGACTATTGACTTGTTCAATTGCGTGTGAATTTAATCATGTAGGTTTAGGATCTCTGTTCTTGTTTTTTAACTTAACTGTTGCAGTTCTATGGCGTGCCTTTGATTTGTCATCAACAATTATATTTGGGAGTTACATCTTTTTTGGGTCTTATGAAATTTCAGATTTCTGGTTTTAGTCCTTGTGAAATTTCAGATTCCTGGTTGTTGTCCTTGTAAAATGGGCAGAAATTTTCACCTTCAAGACTTGTATTGATGACGAGAAGAGACTAAAACCGTAAATTTGAAAATTCATAAGAATCAAAAACATATTTGCCTTTGCATGTGCTTTTTTCATAAAGTTGTTGTCGAATTAGTCCTTAATAAAAGATGCAAAATCTCATTGACTTAATCCTTGGACGATTTTTACTGAACTAACCCATCAATTTCATTGCTCTTATCACTCTAATATTCCTTAAGGATGAATATGGTAACATTTGAGATTTTGTAAGTGACAAATTTTGTGACAAGTTTTTTGAAAACTAACATGGTAACATTTTAAACCATTAAGGAACTAATTTAGTAACCAAAATTAAAGGACTAATGTGGTGCCTTGTGTAACTTTTGCAGAAATAAGTTGAGAGTTTACTCTAGTAATAATATGAATTCTCAAAAAGATAGTTTCTCTTATACTAATTGGATCAGCTTTGGGGATCCTTTTGTGTGATGATACATCCATGAGAAGCTATTCTGTCAAACCTTGAATAATTAGCTTCTGCTTTGCTAGATGTTCACCCTCTTCTTCAATACTGTTACTTCAACCTAATTCCTACATCGTTATAGTGGTGTGATTAAAAGTGTAATGATTTCTGTAGTGGGAGGGTACGAGGGAAGTTAAAAATGTGCACATTCCTAACATTGGGGGAGAAGTACTGAATTCATAATTTCTTACTGTTTGGAATTTTGCCTCAGTTATTTAGTTTTGCATTCTTTTCACATGAGTTTAAAATTTCTGCACCTAAGTTCCCAGTTGATTCATAAGGGAGTATATTAAGTTGCTGAGAAGGGGAAGAAATCTATCATAATGTGTTAATTACTTATTGCATCCAGCATCTAACAGTTTGATAATTAACTCTTAACCTTACGGTTGTTTCCATTATTCAATCCAGTTTCTTCATCTATACGTACCATTAACCCCAACTTGCAAAAAATTACAGTTCAGGTTCTTCAGCTGGAGGTACTGTGGCCAAGGATGCCGTTGGAAATGATGTAATCGCAGAGAATTGGCTCAAGACACATGGACCTGGTGACAGAACTCTTACACAAGGATTGAAGGTATGTTTACAGCTGTTTAGTGTTAGTGTTTTCATAGATCTTCAACAACTTGCAGATGTTTTACATTTAACATTGAAAGCAATAATTTCCCTGGACTGCTTCAGTGCCATTTCTCAATCCTTCTTTAGACCTCTTTTCTTTCCTCAACAAATTTTTATCTTGCTACATTATGCCACTTCTATCCAGTGACAGTGAAAGGGAAATTTAAACTCTAGATCTAACAACATAAACCAAAGGTTTGCCCTTGTAGAAGTGAAAATGATTGCCTTCTCACTTTCCAACCAAAATAAGTATTTTCACATTTCCATAATTTGAATCCTACCCCTTTTATTAACAGGGAGATCCTACCTATCTTGTGGTGGAGAAAGACAGAACCCTTGCAACATACGCAATTAACGCGGTGTGCACTCATCTCGGATGTGTGGTGCCATGGAATACAGCTGAGAAAAAGTTCATTTGCCCCTGTCATGGATCTCAGTACAATGACCAAGGAAGAGTTGTGAGAGGACCTGCTCCCTTAGTAAGTAAATTGGAAAACCATCTTTTGAGAAATTTGTGGCCTTTTTACTTATAGAACGATAGGTTCAAGACATAGTAATGGTTATTTTCTTAACAACTACTGTTCAAATTTTAATCTTTTCTTTTCTCTACATACCTGCGGCTAGAACAGTGATGAATAATTTTGTTGTTCTTGTTGGACAGTCTCTGGCATTAGCACATTGTGATATAGATGATGGGAAGGTGGTGTTTGTTCCTTGGGTTGAAACAGATTTCAGAACAGGTGATGCTCCATGGTGGGCTTAGACTCCTTAAAGCCGTTTCTCTGTTGTCCTATGTATTTAAGTGTGAAATTCAAACAATCTGTTTTGTGTCACTACATAAATATATTTTGTAATCAAATTCATATTCTGTGAACTCAAGCTATGGAAAGGCACCTTTTTTTTCCCGAGTAATCCCTTCTACCATATGCTTTTTCTTTTCCTTTTCTTTTAATTTAATGGAAAATATTGCTCTGTGCTACCAAAAATTGAACTTTTACTCCTTTATAATCCATGCTATACCTTTTTATAACGTTTATGGGTTTTGGGTAGCTGCTAATGTAGTTAGTGTGATATAAAACCGGCGTTTAGTTACTATGAAGCTTAAATTAATTTTCAAAACAAAGCAATTTATTTGAATGTAATTATGGTGCTGGAGATCCAACATCAGAGATATGACCATGTAACAAAAAGAAAACAAATCAAAGTTTTGTAAAATTTAGTTTAGGTCCTGATTAGTAGCGGAGTAAATTTACTGAAGTATTGAAAAACTGGAAAAGAAAAGAAAAAGTCTTGAAATCCTGAATTTGTAGAAACACGACGAAAGATTCAAAAGAGTTCAGAAGAAAAAAAGAAGAAAGAAATGAGGCATCCGATAGAGGAAGAAAAAAAAGAAAGAAATTGAAAAATAATACAAATTCAGAAAAAGAATACAGAACAAAAAAGAAAGATATAACAGACAATGCATGAGAGTAATGGTTCGACCTAAGAAAGAAAGATGTTTCAACATCAGTTTCAGTATCAATGTAAGAAAGGCTTAGTCAAAAAGTAGGAATTTTAAACATATTATAATAACTAAAGTTAAAAGCTACTTTCAACATTGGTTTATCTTGAATAATTTCTGTCAAGAACAAGAAGTAAATATTTCCTTCGCATCTAAACCATTTATTAAAATTGATCAAATTTCATATAAATTTTGGCGCATGGTTAATTTTAATCCATTTGGCCAAAACTTAAAAGAGAGTCCCTCCTTGTGGTGATTTTATGATAATTATCTTAATCAAATGATCGTTGGTTGTTCTTTTCAACAAGTGACCATCTCTTTGGAAAAAAAAGACGAGCCTTGTTTTTTCTCTATTGTTTAAGCTTCTACACAACACATTTCTACGTAAGCTTCGTAGTTGAAACAAAATGATCTCATCTACAACTATAATGATACATTGGGATTTTAGTGTTGTTTTGGGACCCATAATATCACTTTCTTGATTTTTTTTTTCTTAAATTTGTTGGCATTGGTGTTATCATAATATACTTACCCAATTACCTATATATGTAGAATAGTCAACATACTTGAACAAGTTTTTATTTTTTCAGATCTCATAAAAAACTCAATAAATTTACCTATGATATGGAGTATTTAGAATAGAACCTACTATCCAATGTGTTGTCTTACCATGATCTAGGTCCCATTATGATAGAAGTTAGACATGCTAAAAAGGTTTCTCTCAAATTTTAAATTTTTGTCTATGGGGATTAAGGAATCTTGGCAGGTTAGCTCTGTGGGTCGTCCTATGTTTATATTACATAAAAATAAAAGGTAAAAGTTCGATTCAAGACCTAAACTAAAATTGATTTTAGAAATGTTCACTCCAAGCTTAATGAAGCAATGGAAAAATTAAAATACTATCAAATCATTGACAAAGATGGTAATTTGGAGGATCTAATCTTAAAGGAGGGGACAATGGTTGATATTGACACAACACTAGACACGAGGAAGAGTTTTGGAAGGCAAAATTGTATTCACCATTGCAAGGAGATAGAAATAAAAAATATTTCCATGCTAAAATTAAACATTCCATATTATCAAAATATTATGTTCCTTAACTCTCACATCTTGATAATGTTATAATACAATAATACATTCCTCAAGTTGTTACTAATTTGAAAAAAAAAACTTTATTCTTACATTTTTATAAAGTGAATAAGTTTTTTTTTCCTAGATGAATTTATAGTTAGTCAATCAAGTTTGTTAAAATAAATGGATGAATGAATTAAAAACTTTCTTTTATTCTTTTTTTTTTACAGAATTTTAAAATTCTATTGTCACCATTTATTTCCTCTAATGTGTTGTTTTGTTATTGTTGTGTCTTTGTGAAAACGGTAGAAAGAATATTTAAATTCCTTAAGTTTCGACTCTTAAATTATATAAGATTATTAAGTGTCATATAAGTTCTGAATCGAGGTCTAAGAAAGATAAATACTAATAAAAAATAAGGATTGATTGCACAATTGTTATCATACGTGAATAAAATAACTTGTAAATATTATAATATTGTTGGACTTTAATGACATTTAAACTGTCATTATACATTATTTTCAATATTCTTTAAAAATATTTTTTTAAAGGTATCTTTAGATAATTTTCTAGATTCAAATATAAGAAAATAAATAATTTCATATTAATTAAGAAAATTAATAATTAATTTAATTTCGCTAATCTCAAATTAAGAAACATGATATTAAGGAAAAGAAATAATTAAAAGTACAATCACTATGAAATAGACAATCTTTTAGAGTTATATCATTAAATAAAGTAAAACTGGTTAAAAGACTATCATACATGACAACTTTTTTTTTTTTGTTTGTATTTAATTTAGCGCGAATATTTTAAGTAGATGTATATGATTTACAATCTATCAACCGGTTCACATCATTCATGTTACAGTTAACTCCTTTATTTGCACATGTTTTAAATAATTATCCATCTTTAACAAATAAAAAAACAAATTGAATTTTGAATTATTTTAAACTAATAATAATATATTACTTTAAAAAACAAAAGTGTGTAAGTGTGAACAAATGTGCAAGTTGATCCTCTTTAATGCCTACCTTATAATGAAAAAACATGTCTATCACACGCAAGTCCATTTTAATACTCATTCTCATCGATCTTTTTAAGATCCTCGTCATTGGCCAATTAAACTTTGCTAAAATTAGATGCACTGGCTTGGGCAATATCAATTTGAAGACTGAAAAGTCACACTGCGAAGAACACTGTATGAACACAGCATTAAAAGTTGAATTCAGATATGGAAGCACAACTTGTTGTCTTTGACATAAAAGAGAACACAAGCACAAGTATTTGACAAATCCATTTGAACCAATGGGCGTGACCACCATATGCTGCTTCCTTTGAGCCACTTCTCTTTCTGTATTTCTCATCATTTCAGGGCAACGTCCAGTACTCTATAGGAAGCTCTTTCTCCCTTCAATATTTTCTTCATCTTTTCACTACAGGTAAGGTAGAAGCCATGCTATGCCAGTCCCTTACCTTATTTTTCCTCATATATTCTCCACAATCTTCTGTATGTCATAACTGGTAATTTCTTTCTGCATATATGGTGAAACAACGACTTAATGTGTATTCAAATTCCTGAAAACATAGACTAAATCGTTGGTCTCTCTTCATCACTCATCATTTGAAAGTTGAAGCTAAAGCACTGGCAGCCAATTGTCAAATTTTAATGTTTCACTATTGGTTGCAATATCTGCTACGCTGGAATTATTATATTAGGAGTGGTGGAGTGCTGATATGGTGAAACACATGCTTTGACTTAATTATAGCATGACTGATAATACCTGCAATATAAGATTTTATTATTGCTTTGAAAACATGTGTTAGACTTTTTAATTCTAGAAATATTTTAAATTATTCTATTTTTACTCCAAAAAAATGTGGTATCTGAGGTGGATTCGTATAGTTTATCTTCAATACGTCAAATAGATTATATCTACACATTGAAGCCTTGAGGTGATGAATATAATTTCTTGATTGAAGAGAAGCATCCATGGCAGGCATGAGCAGTGAGATTTCAACACGGAGGCTGGAGGTTCGTACCTTGATCTATCTATATTACTGTTATTTCAACATAGAAACACAAAGAAATTCATTTTTAATCTTTACTTGTTTGGCCTATTGAATAGGGAAAATCTGCTGCAATAGTGGTTTGTTGGCTTCTCGGAAATGGATGCCTTTTTTCATGGAATAGTATGCTGACAATAGAAGATTACTACAGTTACTTGTTTCCAGTGAGTGATGCATACGTACTCTTATTCTTCATTATCTGACCTTATTCAACTGTTGTAATTGTTTTATAACGAATGGTCTTACACAGATTAGAAGTAATTTAATTTGGTGTTCTCTTTGTGCAGAAATATCATTCATCTAGGGTTCTTACACTTGTATATCAGCCATTTGCTGTTGGAACACTTGCGATACTTGCGTATAATGAGGCAAAACTCAATACACGAATTCGGAATATGTTTGGATATATACTTTTTTTCATAAGCACGCTGTTGGTGTTAATTGTAAGTCCTATTCGTTAATTTTAGAACTTGGATAATTGATTCCTCTGGGATGGTGCTGATTTATTTCCAACCAATCTGTCTTAGGTGAATTCGGCAACATCTGGTAAAGGGGGGCTTGGAATATTCCTTGCTATATGTGCACTAAGTGGTGCTTTTGGAGTAGCAGATGCTCATGTTCAAGGTGGAATGGTGGGAGACCTGTCCTACATGCAACCAGAGTTCATTCAGGTCAGCCTCTGTGATAAAATTATTATAAAGTTATGAAATATTCATTAAGCTCATGAATTCCTTTGCTATGGTTTTGTTGTTACAGTCATTCCTTGCTGGTTTGGCAGCATCTGGTGTATTAACCTCTGCTTTGAGGTTAATTACAAAAGCTGCATTCGATCATTCTAGTGACGGTCTCCGCAAAGGAGCAAGTAGGTTCAACTCTCCAATACCTCAAAATCAACTTTTTTGTTTCTCTTTCATTCCAAATTGATTATTGATAAATACTTCTATTGGTTGTGTAATATAAATACTACCAGAGTCTCACCAATGCTTCTTGATGTGTTTTATTTAAGATTGATAGTTATTTTATCGGCATAGCAAAATAATTCCTTTTGTTTTAGTAACACAATACTTCCCTTACTTTTCCGGTCCTCTGTCATTGTTTTTAGATACAGTAAGGGTTGGCTGTTTCTCATATAGTAACAAGTGAAGAACTTGTATGAAATATTTAGTACGACCATGTTATCACAATATATTGCACATTATGGATTTGAAGTTACCTTGCTGATCAGACCAGCAATGTCAATTTCTCTGAACTCATGTGATGGTGGTTGAATTCATGTTTGTCGTGACTGAACATATATAATTATGATGATTGTTGTCCTCACACCCTTTTAGGTACTGATCATTTCACATGTTATATAATTATGCAGTTCTTTTCTTTGCCATATCAACATTCTTTGAGCTCCTATGTGTTGTTCTCTATGCATTTATATTTCCTAAACTACCAATTGTGAAGTACTACCGTTCAAAGGCAGCATCAGAAGGATCCAAAACTGTATCAGCTGACCTTGCAGCAGGTGGCATCCGGACATTACCTGGAACAGTACTGTGTTCTCTCGTCCTTTTTACTCATCAATGCATCCCAAAACGTTTTCTTTGTTAAAAAAATAAAAAATCAGCTTATGCAAGGTTTACTCTTTTTCAGGACGAGGAAAATGCAAAAGATCCAGAGCGGAAGGGAAACAAGCAATTGTTATTGGAAAACATTGATTATGCACTTGATATGTTCCTAATTTATGTGCTAACACTGTCTATTTTCCCTGGATTCCTCTCGGAAGATACAGGATCACATAGTTTGGGTACATGGTATGTTCATTACAAAATAGCTTGATTTTGTGACTAGAAACTAAACAATAGGCCAAGATATTGATTCTGTGATTTTATATAACCAAATATAATGTAACAATTGACATGTCCGATTATTCCAGGTATGCTCTCGTCTTAATTGCTATGTATAATGTGTTCGATCTGATAGGAAGATACATTCCACTGATGAAATGCTTGAAATTGGAGTCCCGAAAGTTGATCACAATAGCTACTCTTAGCCGTTTCTTACTTATTCCAGCATTTTATTTCACAGCAAAGTACGGTGACCAAGGTTGGATGATAACGTTAACATCCTTCTTGGGGCTGTCCAATGGTTATCTCACTGTATGTGTCCTAACATCTGCACCAAAAGGTTACAAGGTGAGTGAGCTAAGTGTTAAATAGAGCCAGAAAACTTTGGTGTCTAGACATTAAAATTTTCTGTGTTTACTTTTGGTAGGGTCCAGAACAAAATGCCCTGGGAAACATATTGGTGTTGTTTCTTCTTGGAGGTATCTTTGCAGGAGTGACACTTGACTGGCTATGGTTGATAGGTAAAGGATGGTGAGATGAGGAGATCCAATTCACTCCAGATTACAGGAATGGTTCTCAAGAGTTCGTTCCTAGTAAAGCATTATAAGTGTATTCATATTCTGTTTTTTAATACTTTAAATTAATGAATTGGTTAATTTGGTTGTTTGATTCCTCATAAACTAGCAATCACAGGCATAATTAATTGAATACCCTCTTAGAACTTTAAAAAACTTCAGAGAGGAATGATTAAAAAAACATCATCCTACATTTTTGTTTCTGAAAGAAATGTTAAGCGCTCTCGAAAAAAGGACGAATGCAAAGTCGCTTTGCTTTCCTCGTGGTGGTCACACTCGCACCATGTACAGACAAATAATACATATTAGAGTGACAGTACTTGTACGCAATTCTTCACCTAATATTCCAACTTTTTATTCTGTACTATTTTAGTTTTCACTTTTTTAATTACTTCATATTATTTCTAAAAGGAATGCAAGATAAAGAATGGAAAACGATTAATAAAAAAACAAATATGTACAAATAATAATAATAATAATAGAGTGAGAGTTCAAAATTTACAGTGAGAAAGGACAAAACATTGGTTGCATAATTTTGTCTAATAGCTTCACGTGAAACCCAGATACATATTACAAACAAAATCGGGCAAAGAGAGGTCTAATAGGACCCTCTCATCTCGCAATCAAGAAGTGGACCCTTCAATCACAAAAAAACCAGAACCATCAGGAGCATAATCCAAACTATCCTCAACGGCCTAGATGAAACCTGGTTCGTCTCAAATTGCAGGGTATCAACGGCCAAGGGCATGTTGTCCTGGTCCGGACTACACTTTGATTCGTGTGGATGTGCGCTGTACATCACAGCTCGCAACACCGCCGAAACGGTTGGTATGTACGCCGTTTTGTTTCTTCCTAGCAGCCACGTCAGCGCCATCAATTGGCAGTCACGGTTGAACATCTTCTTAGCTCTCTCACTTTCACCCTCACTCTCCTTCTTACCCCCTTTCACCTGTTTCAAAATAAAACCAAACTTCAAAAAACTTACCAACAACAGACATTGGCTAGCTCAACCTTATTTTACACAAGTTAATCCTTTATGTTTTTTATATCAAATTATAATTATAATATAAAATTTGGAATACATTGAATCAATTTTGTGAGTTAATCTTTCAAAGTCGTTGCATTCTCTTTATATGTATCTATTAGCGATTAACCACACTCATATTATAATAAATAGATCTTATTTTTTTAACTTCAATTGTTCCTTTAAATTGAGTTATTACGACATTAGATATATTCCAATATGGTATTGGAGGTGGCAAGACATGAACATAAACTCTACCTTACACGCACATGGCAATGTCATTTTCGCAGGTCAACCCAAAATTAATTAGAATTCAGATGAAAAAAAAAATCAACGTTGCTTTATATGAGTTGATTTTAATCTTTATATAGGGAGAAGATGAAAAACGTGTGACCTTTTGTAGAGCGCTGAGGCATTGCGTGCAGCCAGCGTAAGAAGCGTTACGGCAATTCTTTTCCAGGTTCCGTACAACGGCGGTGGGGGTGGCGTTGTGGGTGCCGGAGACGTTTCGAACAGCGGTGATGTTGAACGCGTTGGGGCAGCTGAGGGAGGTTATCTGGTGGAGTCTGATGCCGCAGAAGCAGAGAATGGCGTCGCAGGTGCCGTTGGGTTGTGGGATTCGGATGCTCCGATTTCTTAGTGAGTCTTGGAGCGAGTTGACGCAATTCTGGGAGTCGTCGGGCATCATGGGGAGGTCTCCGGAGGGAGGTGGCGCGGCGGCGGATACTTCGAGGGCTGTTCTGGCGAAGGCCGCGAAGAGCCAGGCGGCAAGGACTGGACAGCAGCGGCTGCGGTCAAGGGTGGTGCCGCAGGCGTGGTTGACGCCGCCGAAGAGCTCGTTAGAGAGGTCGAGGCGGCAGATTTGAGAACGGGTTTGGGTCGGGTATGCGGGGACGGTGTTGAAGGACGGCGAGTCCCCAGGGTTCAGAGGTTGTGCAGCTGTGAACCATATTGAAGCCAAGAAAACAAGGCCTAGCACAGTGGAAGTGACGAACAATTGCATTTTCTTTGGTTTTGGAGGATTGGAAGTTCTTCTCTGCTGGTTGTCGTAGGAAGTGAAAATGGCGTACGAGGAAAAACAGAGGATTAACGATGTTTCGGCTATGATTTTTATGCATAAAAGGAGAAGATAGACTGAAATGAAATGAAAGATTAGGGATATCATGAAAAGACAAATACATTTATGAAAATTAAATTTCATCTTATTATTATAAATACAATTAATATTATTTATGAAAAATTATTTAACCATTGATGCTAAAAAATAATCATTTTTTTCTTAAATACATTTCGAAACTTTATTGATCTTTTTAGTTTTAATATAAATTTCAATACTAGTTTTTATTTTAATAATAATTATAATATTTATTTTTTGATTTATTGTTTATTGTTATAAGAAAAATGGAGACACATGTTTGATGGTACGTGTCTCCGCTAGTATTTTTAACATGATTTACGCATTTTAAAAATTCAATATTTTTTTATATCCATATTTTGAAAAAAATAAATAATTCTGCATACTATTATGAAGGATTAATTCTTACAAATGTCTATGATGATTCTCCTTCAGAAAATAACTGAGTAAATATAATTTTAATTCGAAAAAATTTAAATGTGATCGGACGATAAAAATATATTCAAAACTTTATTATAACTTATTTTTAAAGTAGACAACGGGTTTAAAAATTAATTAAAAGTATTAATATGACATCACGATTATCTTTAATTAAATTTAGAGCTAGCATAAGATAATTGGTTATATAAAACAAAACTTTGTTATCCTATTGAAGCCATAATGCAGTGGAGGCAAAACAATGCACAGGGTTGTTTGGTAGTTCTAGAATTATTGAACATGTCTTCAAGGGTGAGTAAGTTGTCTTTAATCATGTTGATAGTGAGTATTGGAATAGTTCTATAATTGTCCTTGATTAAATAATGTCAGAAATCAATTGACTTTTTGTTTCTACGTAGTCTTCTCTTATTTGTTTTTACTACTAAAACCATATTTTCACATAATTATTTGACACAGATTTGATATAAACTTTTTTAAATTTAATTTTCAATGATTTTTTCAAGTTATTAACTTAGAATTTTTTTTTCATCAAATTTCTAATTGCACAATTGCTGTGTCAATTGAACCTAAGAGAGAAAAGAAAACTTAGATAGTGTTATTATCATTCGTTATCGCTAAATTATTATCAACACTCTCATTTTTTTCTTTCTTTTATGAAACATGCTTTTTTTTCAATTTCTAATTTCTTCAATTGTCATTCATTCTGAATTCTTGAATCGACATTCTCTGTCTGTGGTACGAAGTAGTGTATTGGTTATTGATAACATTTAAGGATAACAATGATAAGTAAAGGCAGTGAAGTTAGTAAATAAAATTATGATATAGACATTTTTATATAGCCATTTTCATATAGACATTTTTATGTTTGTTTAAGACTTTTGACTTGAGATTAATCTTTTTGTAAATTTCTTTTTGTTATTCCTGCAATCGAAATTTCTTGAATGAAAAGTTAAGTGTAGAACAAAAAAGTTTATTAAAAACATACCCTTTGGATGGTTAACCGTGTTGAATGAATTTATCAAAATAAACAAGAATCTTTTAACTAAGTTATGTACTAGGTGGGTTGAAAGGAGGGGTAATTTTTTACTTGGTGCAAAAGTGGTTAGATTTAATTTATTATATGTATGTTTAGGGTTGAGATTAAGGAAGTCAAAGATAAAATTAATTTAAATGATGAGGTTGGCATAGATAGTAAATGTAGGAAGTATTTTTCTCCGAATAATGTGATATATGATTTTCTCTTGGAAGAACATGAAGATGTTCTTATAGAAGATATTTCTAGTCTTTATATTTTGGTAGGCATGAGTTTTTCTTGCCAAATCGAAATGGAATTATTTTTCCTATACTTTTTAATATTGTGGATGACTTACAAAGTCTCGGTAAATATAATTAGGATAATTTAGCGTATGAGTATTTGGACGGGAGTATCTGCAATGCTTCATTGGTATTAAAGAATCAAAAAACTACAAGTCAGTTCCATGTTGTTGGATATGTATATTTGTTGAAGGTAAAACATCCTTATTTAGTTTTTATGCGTAAGTGATTTAGTTTATATTGTAGTGTGATGTATGACTACTTGTATGGTTTGTAAAAAAATTTAGTTATGATCTTTTGATCATTTTCTTTTTTGTAAGGAAAAGTAACAAAAAATCAATCCCAAATGAATAACACAACCAAAAATAAGAAGATCATTTTAAAAAATAACTTTCGCATATCATGTTTCTTGTAGAAAAACTCAAAGCACATAACAATGAAATCACTAAATATATCTCAATCTTAACCCTAAACCACCCAAAAAATATCAAACTTCTTTAATTTAACCTAACCATAACAAAACATTAAAATTATTTATCACCAATGAAATGCAGTTATATGTATATTACTTGAAACCATTAAAATGAACTTCATTGACACAAAGACCAAACACAAACGAAGGAAGGATGCATGAAACCCAAATAATGGACTGACAACAACGACGACGGAATGCAACGAACCTAAAAAAAACAATGGAGCCACAATGTGAAATGTTAGGTTTCAATGGAGCAAGCAAATCTGAGGAAGGTACTACATTTCAATAAAGCAAACTGCTAGGTTTTTTCGTCTTTGGTTCAAATGGACTCACACCATTCAAATTTTTCATTTTTCCTATTTCAAATTTGGTTCAATTTGGGATTCCTCCATGAACAAAAATTATCTAAGTTAGAACCTTAAAAAAATTAATCAACATTCAATTTCAAAAAATCATATATATTATGTTTGTACCATATGACTTGATCGGACAATCAGTTGTCACTAGGACACACAAACAAACCACCACCAGGAGCGGATGGTCGAGGAGTCGGACTGATCAGTCAATGGTCAAGGCGATTAGCGTTAATGTCGAATAACTTAAAGGTAAAGTGTGATTACCAACAATTGGACCATAACTAGGTCGTTGCTAATCAAAAGCCCACTCTAAAATCTATAAATATAGGTTTGAGGTAAGGAGATAAGTGATCTACATT